AGCAACACTTGCCACAGTTATTTCCTGTGGCAATGAATCCTTAACACATTACCCTATGATATGCCCCTTCCTAAAAGGAGCTAACAATGTCAGATCATCAACTGTACATAGATACCCCTCGTGGGATCTTCATCAGGTTTATAGGCTCTTGTTTCGCACCCTTTGAACTATTGACACTGGTTTGTTTAAACAGTTATCGATGAAGGTGGAATTTCTTGTTGCTGTAACTTCAGCGAGAAGGATATCTGAACTGGCTACTCTTCAGTGAGGAAGGACCTGTGTACGTTCCATAAGGACAGGGTAACCCTTAGGCTAGGCCCCTCCTTCGTGCCTAAGGTCAAGTCCTTGTATCCTAGATCTCAGGAAATAGTTTTGCCGGACTTCTGTCCTAACCCATCTAATGACATAGAGGTTCAGTGGAACAAATTGGATGTGCGCAGGGCTTATATTGTTATATACAGAGAACCTCATCTTTCCACAGAACAGAGGCTCTGTTTGTGTCCCATCACTCTTCATCACTAGGTCAGAAGGTTTCTTCAACCACAATACCCAGGTGGATTAGAGTTTGTATTTCTCTGGCATACCAGTCTCAGTCACTGCAAGATCCCAGGCATATCACGGCCCATTCCACCGGGGCGCAGCTACTACAGCTGCCTGGTCTACTCAGGCCTCCGTAGAGGGAATTTGTAGAGCAGCAACATGGGCATCGCCCTCTTCCTTTGTCTGTCACTACAAGAGGGATATATATGCATCTTCTACGGCTTCATTTGGCCACAAGGTTCTAGAACACGCATTAACGTTGGATGGGACCCAGGCCCAATCTAATTCCCCACCCTAGGGACACAGGGCTTTGGTATGTCCCATCCGTGGGTTCTCCATCCAATCATGCTGGAGAAAGGGGCGTTGTCTTACCTGAACGCCTTTTCTCAGCATGATGATGGAGAATCCACTCCCTCCCATTAGGTCAGTTGGCCTGGTTCCCATATTGTTCAGACGCGTCGGACTAAAGTCTGAGTATCGCCTTAGCCTAAAACTTGGGTGCAGTTGGTACAGAGGGGGCGGTACTAAATTTCAGACTTAGTCTAATTGGAGCAGATAGATTAAGACAACCCATCCGTGGATTCTCCATCATCATGCTGAGAAAAGGCGTTCAGGTAAGACAACGCCCCTTTCTATTCTGTTCTGTTCTGTTCTGTTCTGTTCTGTTCTAGATTCTTAACTTCAGACTAGCAATATTTGTACTTAAAGAGACAAGTAGGTTTGTAAAATAATTATAAACATTTGGTTCAATCTGATATGATATTTTCGGGAAAGGGTGGAACAAGATATTGGAGAACCATATTTTGTCTAAAATATATAAATTAATTTGAAAAACCAAATTTAAAATTTTTAATGGATCAGAAACTATTTTTATTTGATAGAAATGTATTTTTTCTGAAAAAGACTAAATTCTCATGTTATTGTAGATGTAAAGAGAATGATACTTCATTAAATTATATTTTGTCACACCTTACATATAGATTTTTCCTTTATATTAATTTGACCATGAGATAGAATTTAATATTTTCAGTTGTACATATTTGTTGAATTACAGCTCCATTAAATGGAAAGAGGTAGCTGAACAATGGAAGTCATAGGCCTTGGCCTATGAATGAATTCCTTCAGAGTTCATGTATGCATTGCTGATTACATTACAATATTATAAAAAAACTTTTGTTTAAAATTTTAATTATATATACAGGTAGTCCTCAATTTATGACCACAATTGACCCCCAATTTTCTGTTTCTAAGTGATACAGTTGTTAATTTAGTTTTGCACCATTTTAAAACCTTTCTTGTTAAGTGAATCACTACAGTAGTTAAGTTAGTAACATATTTATTAAGTAAATCTGGTTTCTCTATTTTTTTATTGAAAGTTTTTGAATTTTACAAAATAAATCCCTTCCCCAAACCCCCCACCCTCCCATACCCTCCCTCAACCTTCCCAGAGCTGAGTACAGGCTTAATTAAAATTTTTCAAAAAAGATAAGAAATAAAAAAACTTAAAACACATATAAATTACCCATCATTATATAAAGAATCACCAAAACACCAATTTGAACATTACTTTCTTTAAATATCTATACCTACACTATAAAATCTAATCTAATCTCCCTCTTTCTTTACTCTAAAACACAAAAATAAGCATATGAACATTCATTATACCATTAGGACTGGATACTCATTTAATTAGTTAAACTAAATACTTATATATAAACTTCTTATCTAAAATTTAATTAAACAACTTAACTTCTCTTAAGAATAATTAATAAAAAAAAGAAAAGAAACCAATCTTTAAACAAACTATAGTATACTCTAAACCCTTTTCATATCATTTATATTATTATCCATCATTTTATAATATACTCTAAACCTTTTCATGTCATACATATTATTATCCCAAAACACATATTTAAACATTATTTAAGACATTTTCCAAAAACATTATAAATTTTACTTCTCCCGCAATCTCAATAATCTTCTAAATACCTAAACAAAATACTTAAACTTAAACTTCTTATCTAAAATTTTCATTCAGTCTCCATAATCTTCTGTCCAATAGCCGGTTGCGTCCACTATAAACACAATCCTTATCAGTCTCTCTTGCCCATAAGCATCCTCAACCTCCTTTTCTATACGTTTATATGTTGGACAAGTTGTCTTCTGGTCTTTCATCTCTTGTGGAACTTCCTTAAGCTTCTTCTGTTGATCCTTTTCTTTACAGTTATATGTTGCACAGGTTATCTTCTGCTCCTCCATCTCTACTTGTTGAGGCCTCCCATCTGCTCCTCCATCTCTACTTGTTGAGGCCCCTCAGACTGAAGTTTCCCAATTTTCATAATTCTTAACACTTCTGACTGCAGTTCTACCTTTTTTTCTTCCAAAGCTTTAAACATGATAGGTGACGATGAGCATACCCCCAGGACCGAAGTATAAAAATCTTTTGCTTTAGAAACATTATTAAGACTGTAACGTATCCCCAGGTAGCTCACCACCATTCCAGTCGGAACATCCCATCTAAACAAAATTTGTCTCCTTTTAAGTTCATCTGCTAAAAAAGCAAACTCCTTTCTTCTTCTTAAAATTTTTGGTGGGATCTCCTTTAAAATTATAACATCTTGTGAAGCAATTTGAAACCTTTTCTTATAAAAAGCTTGTATAATTTCATTGCGCAGGGATCTTTTCCCAAAGTAAATTACCACATCTCTTGGCAAATTCTTTTGCTCTGCCACCACAGAGTTAACTCTAAATGTCTGATCAATTCCACTAAGTATTTCCTCTTCTTCTCTGTTCAGAATCACAGCAAAGTCCTTTGCCACCATCTCTCTCAAATCTCCTTGCACAGACTCATGTAAACCTCTTATTCTTAAGGCATATTCCATTTGTTTATATTGAAGCATAAGAATCTGATCTTGAAAGTTTTTCATCTCTTTTTCCATACTTTCAAATTTTTCCTCCATCAATTCCACTTTTTCTACTACTTCTTCTACGCGAGAGTTCAACTTTTCAAGAACAGAGACAACTCCTTTTAAAGTCAAAACTATCTCTTGCCTCAAAGTCTTATTATTTTCCTCTAAAATCTCTTTCATTTCTCCCCTAATTTGAAGTATCATATCTTGCAAGTCCTTCACCATTGTTGACTGTGGCAAGGAAGAAGGTGAACCTATTAATTTAGGTTGTTGCCCTGACAATAACACCGAAGAAGAAGCCACCTTGGAAGCTGTAGAGATTACTGGACGCTTTGGGGCCATCTTAAAAAAACTTTACTCCTTCTTAAAAATTGCAAAAATTAAGCAAAAAAAAAATAAGAAGTTAACTCCCTATATTCAAAAAAAAATCCTTCAAGAGGGATCATTATTAAAAAGAAGGGAGTTCAAAAAAAAAAGAAAAAGGAGGAGAAGAAAAAAAAATAATTAAATAGAAAAAATCCATTCCATTTTTAAAAGTACCGAAAAGTACAAAATACAAAACACGAAAATTAAACAAAAATAATAATACTAACACTCCATTCCAATCATAAAAAAAACAAAAGAGAAAAAAGGAAAGGGAAAAAAAGAACACCAAAAAGCCTGCCGGTCACCATTCTAACTTCCGGAAAAAAAAACACCGAGAGGCTTGCCGATCGCCATTTTACTTTCCCTTTCAACAAAGAGGAAAAAAAATAAAAAGAGGGAGTATAAAAGTAAAAACAAGTCTTGAAACTTAAAATCCAAATAAATCAAAGAAAGCAAAAACTAAATCCTCTACTCAGCTCTGTCCGTTTATAAAAAAAAAACTCACCAGTTCTCTTTAATCACAGAGGTGGTTGCAGCGGCTCGTTTTGTCCCTAAGGACAAAAACAGCTGGGAAGCGGAGACAAGTCTGAACTCCGTGGGAGCACTCTTTTCACCCCCTAAAAGAAAAACTTGGGGGGTGCATAAGAGGCTCTACCACTATTCAGACAACTCTCTACCCCCCCTTTGCCCGGGAGGGGTTTTTGAACCGCTGAACAGCTGATGTCTGCTGTTCATAGCGGTTCTTACACTTACTCAGGACGGCTACAAAGTAGCCGCCATTGCACGCGCAGATCCACCGGAAGCCCGTTTCTCTATTGACATTGCTTGTCAGAATGACACAAAATTGAGGATCACATGACCCCAGGACATTCCAGCTATCTTAAATATGAATCAGTTGTAAGTTTTAAAAACTCCTTTTTTCAATGCTTTTTTTAACTTGAACAATCATTAAATGAACTATTGTAAGTCAAAGAGTACCTTTATAAATGCAAGAGAAGGAAATAAATGAGAGCAAGGTAGAAAGAGACAGAGCAAGAGAAGAGAGAATATTATAAGCAAGGGGGGACTTTTTCTTATTTTGCTTTGTGTTTTCTTTTGTTCATATCATTCTCCTTAAATAAATCAGGACACTGGACTGGATTTTTGCTGGTCAGTTAGCCAAAGTCCTCACATCTTTTGTCCTACCTGTTTCAGCAGAGATCTGCCCTTCTGAACATGGCACACAATCATAGCAACAAAATTTCTCTCCTTCCTTCTTCTTTCTGCTGGAGCCTGGATTGCAGTGGTCATTGCACACAGAAATAGGAAGCTCCTGAGCAGTAATATGTATGAGACTATCAGAGGATAAAATATTTGCATTAAAAGAGCTTTCCCAAAGAGGAACCCACAACCAGGATAAAGAAGAAGAAGAAAATAAGGAAACTTTAGTTAATGGGAAGGAATTGGTGTTGACTTCTTTGGATTGGCAATTTTTGTGTCCTCACCACAATTCAAAGCCTTTGCCATATATGTGCCATAAACACATTGCATATACAGAAATGTTATACCTCATCAGCTTGAAAAGCCTCAAAACACCAAGACATCATTTTCTTCAATTACCGCCATGTATTTGACAATTGTTCCAAAGAATGTTTTACTTTTCTTATTAATTGAGAATCTGTTGCTTCTTCTCACCTGGTTAAAACTTCTGTGCCATACAATTTGATTGTCATTAACAGTTAATTCTCTGCCTGATGGTGCCCAAGGTTCCAAGGTTCCAACTTTGACTCGAGAAAAGGAATTATTGGGAAAAGTAATCCAGTTTGCAACATCAAAACCCGTAATCAGTTCTCTGTTTTCATTAAATGTAATAGTGTCTCCCATACTGTTGTTGAATACGATGCTTTTCAAGAAATAATTAAACTATATTTTCAAAAAATAAAAGAAATTAACAGCAAGACTTTGAAATTAAACAACTACAGAAAATTATTACAAGCTGAATTATCATGCTTTGAAAGTCACAAATGAGGATTGAGAGGGTCTTCAAGTCAGTATAGACTGCTATCTGGACAGGACTCTGTAGTTCTTTTCGCAAGATGTCCAGAATTGGTTTCCCATTACATCTTTCTAGGACTGAGAGAGAGTGATGGCTTAAGGGCACCAACTGGATTTCTGCCTAATAAGGAGTAGAAGAAACTTCATCCTATTTCTAGTTCACTGCCTTAATCACCACACCAAACTAGTTGTCATGATATATGTTTCATATATGTACTCTAGAAAGAGTACAGAATAAGAGCAACAAAGATGATTAGGGGACTGGAGGCTAAAGCATATAAGGAAAGACTGCTGGAATTGGGTATGTCTAGTTTAATGAAGAGAAGGATGAGGGGAGCGGGATATGATAGCAGTGTTCCAATATCTCAGGGGCTGCCAAAAGAAGAGGGAGTCAAGCTATTTTCCAAGACACCTGAAGGCAGGACAAGAAGCAATGGATGGAAACTAATCAAGAAGAGAAGCAACCTAGAACTAAGGAGAAACTTCCTGACAGTTAAAACAATTAACTAGTGGAACAACCTGCCTCCAGAAGCGGTGAATGCTCCAACACTGGAAGTTTTTAAGAAGAAACTGGACAGCCATTTGTCTGAAATGGTATAGGGTTTCCTGCCTGAGAAGGGGGTTGGACTAGATGACCTCCAAGGTCCCTTCCAAGTTCACTACTACTAGTAGTAGTAGTACTATTATTATTATTATTATTATTATTATTATTATTATTATTAATTGAATGTAATATGTAATTTTGAACACATACTAGCAAGGACGTTATGGAGTGATTAGTTAATATTGCCTAAGATAGTTAACCATAATTATTATCACCTATTATTATATCTACTATTGTTGTTTCATAGCGAATTTGTCAATGCCAATGGTGTTCAAGTGGTGCTCCAGTTGTTTTGGGATTGCACCCAAAGAGCCTATTACTATTGGTATTATTATTATTATTATTATTATTATTATTATTATTATTTTATAATCACAGCCTCCCTCTTTCAGCTTATTAACATGTTAGCCATCCCTTTTTTCAAAATACTGAACGATAACAACATAGTTGTTATCTTAAAGGCAGAGATTTATAATGTACAAATCATAGTGGGATTTTGACAAATAATTGTCTCCAAGAATTTTCAGGAATATGAGGGAAATTAATTCACAAATTAGAAAATCTGCAGCTTTTGGCTACATAGAATCTAAATACACATCAGAACTGATACTCAAATAGTGCTTTTCAAATTCCATAACAAACTGACACATGGATCATCTACAATTTATAACTCAGCCCGAACTTTAGAAGGCATGGTTTTACCTTTTCTGTGTTCTGAACTTCCAAAATAACACAAAAATGCTTAATATATTATTCTTTTCCACTTCTACAACATCACTTCATAGTCTGCCATGTTCTCTGTGCTCTTAGAATTCAAAACAAAGTAACATGTTAAACTACAGTTCTTAGGACAAACAACAATGGCCATCTTTGGATAAAGACTGTGGACCCAATGAATTCTGTAGAATAGAAGAACACTTCCTTCTGCATCAAAAGTAATCTTTTAAATTAGTAGTTATAATGTTTACAAATAGGGAAGAAATATTCCTGTAATACAACTACTAATGTAAAAGCTTTTATTTTTTTCAAGAGAAAAATTTTTATTCAACAGAATTCATTTGTTTATGTTAACTTTATGTTAACATCATTCCCACTACATAATGGTGCAATTAAACAAACAATTTTTATGTATTAGAAATAAAATAAAATACCTGCCATGGTTTTAAATCCTGAACTACTACTTCTTCTGTTACTATTGCATTTCTACACCTTGATCTGGACTTGAGTAAGGCATGCAAAGAATGTGCCATAACATGGACTGCATTATAAATGTTGTAACTGTGTCCAGTCATGTTCATTTCAAATAAAATGCTCGGCAGACTCTCTAACTTCTCATCCCCAGTGCATAATATCTTGTTATCTTCATTTATACTGGAATTGTGTAATGGACAGTCAAATGCCTGTTCCCAAAAATTCTGAATGAAATTGTCTTCTTTTACCCAAGATGGCCTTATAGTCTGAAGAAATTCTTGGAATCCAGGTGGCTCTTTTGAACGAACCGTGAATGATAGAGCACCATGGAAACTCTGTATGTCCCAAAGTCTCTGAATGGACAGTGATTCAAAATTCCAATGGGATGTAATAATCCACACTTTACCCAAAGGTTGCAGTGAAGTCCAAGATGCTACAAGGATGATCATTCTTAGATTTTGCATGGCTGGAGTTAGGGCATAGATTAAACACACTTTGACTTTATCCTCCATAAAGAGTTGATCATATCTTAATTCCACTGACATCAAGTGTATATATTCATCTATATATGCCTTTGGTGGTGTTCTAAGAATGAAAGCATAACAAATGCTGTTTTGGGAAAGCAACGGTTCAATTTTCTGCAAAAACATGTCCCCATAGTCATCATCCACAACCAAGATACCAATCCATATCCATCCAAAATGCTGAAGTAATCGAATAACCCCAGTGTATTGATAGATTTCATTTGGGACCATCTGGTACAATGATGGAAACACATTTTTCTCACCATGTACTGGAGAAAATGTTCCAAAGGTCAGCTGAAAAGCATTATATAGCAAATAATCAGAACCATTATGTGAGATTAAGAAATGTTTTTTTTTAATCTTTATCACAACTAAAGCAAAAAATGGCACTTAAGTGTTGCTGTAAATTACTGTATGTAGTCAGTTCATATATTTGCACTACTATATCAGTGCAAGGGTTGCCTATGTGTTTCTGAGCCCATTTAACTGATTGTGAAAATACTTAAAACATAGCACAAGATCAAAAACTAGGCATAAATGATCCACAAAAGTCTTCTGGTTTGAATACCTGAAGGGAGTCCAGCAGCATGTAGGAAAACAGAGTATTTTCCGTTTGAAACTCAATGCTTTGAAACTCAATGCCAACAGGAGTTTGCTAGCCTTCCATATTTGTTGGAAACTGAAAAGAGTTCTTGGTTTCTAAATATGTAAACATCCATACAGTTTATTCATATTTACACTCATAATTGAATGTACAATACAGAAGGATGACTCAGCTTCCATCCTTCTGAGGTCAGTTAAATGAGGTCCCAGATTGTTAGGGGCAATATGCTGACTCTGTAAACCACTTCGAGAGGGCTGTAAAGCACTGTGAAATGGTATATAAGTCTAAGTGCTATTGCTATTCTCCTAGATTTTGCCCTGTGAACGTCAGTTCTGAAAAGGGCCTACATGTACTTTAAGAATGGAAGGAACTAAAGAAACTTGGGGTTTCTAGGAAGCCATCTCAAGGATCTACCTGTGGAATTTTGTAGTTAGCAAGAACTGTCGCCATGTTGAATGAGGTCTCTGTTAAATGTCCTCCAATGGTAGCAATAAATGTTTTCTTTAAATCACAGGTAAAGTTGGGAACAAACTTCTGCTGTGTAGAAAGTAAGTTCAGGATTGCCTTATAAGTTATCCTTGCAGGGAAGTAGTTGTTCACAATGTGGAAACCCAAAGTGATGTTTGGTAAGAGATCAGGGTTCCTATTGATCTCCTTGACAGCAAACACCAAAGCCAGGATGTACTGATACACATTTGGCACATATCTGCAATAAACACTATCAATGTCATTATACAATATAAACAGGGAATCCTATGCATCTCTTGTACTGTGTACTCACACCTATAATACTGTATGCTATGGAGATCTCCAGAAAATGGCATGCTGAGCAGCGGGGCATTTTTTTCCTCCCTGCTGATAAACAAATGATTTTGCTGCCAAAGCCAATTCTTTGGCAACACACTCTCCAGATTTGAATGCCAGCAGCTAATAATTAACCATGATGGCCTTCAGATGACTACATACTTGCCTGAGAAGAGAAAACTAGAGGATTGTGATTCTCAGTAAGAGAAGCTACAGGATTAGGTATCTATCTTTTCTAGTTGCTGCTTATATTTTTGTATTAGATGTGGCTCTGTTTTTAACATCATCTCTTAATGTTTAATTGTTAATAGCATGGATGGATACTGCTTTGCTCTATACCCCTTTGCTTGCAATTAGTGCAAATATAAACATTCAATGTTTTACTCTGGAGTTTTAAAATACTTTCTCTTTTACTGCAAGGAATTTAGTGGCATGAGGGATTTTTTTCTTTGCATGAAAGTGACTTGAGCTGATTTATACTGGATTTTTACTCTAAGAATTTTCCATTTTATTAGTCCTTCTAAAATAACTCAGAAAAGCTGATTGAGTCTGCAAAATAGAGCCATTACATGCAGTCAGAAGACAGCTGTTACTAGATACTGTGTCCCAATTTTCAGGAAAATTTACTGAACAGCAAGTTCTATGGAAAGATCTTCAATAGAGACCAACAACCTTTGCAAGCATGAAGCAGTTGTTTGAAAAGATTCCAGCTGTAATGTTAAAGAAAAGTAAAGAGGATAAACTGGAAGGAGTTGTTTCTATTATTAAGAATCAATCAAAGGTATTTGATCCTGATCAGAGATGATAGTTGTAGTGGGTTGCTGAGAGATTAAAAGCCACTTGTGAATTTTCTGCAAGTAAAATACCATAATAGATTGTTAACAGAGGGCTTTGAAATTTACTGTTGTTGAGATTACCTGTTAACTGTTTTTTATACAGTAGATAGATGGTAGATCAAATTGGTTGATTGCTAATAGATTTCTATATTTGTAATATTTTTAATGTTATATATTACCTTTTCAAATTTAGAAGTTCATAAATTGTGGAGCAGTTTTGCAAGGTGGGAACAATTATTATTGCTGAAAAATATCTATCAGTATTCAATTTGGGGAAACATTTTGTGTGTTGTTTACTATTTTGTCCTATACACATTTTTCCTTTGAAATGCAGGGAGTGTAAAGGGACATGGAGTTTTCTACACAATAGCCAATTTTTTACACTTCAAAAAAAGAGAAAACTAATTAATAGAAACTTCCTAATGACATTATGGGTATGAATATTTAAAAACACTTATCACTATAATCCTGTTCTTAACTCTCTCCCCCCCCCAATTATTTTGCACTTACTAGTCTGAAGACAAAAAATAAAAAAATAGAATTCCTTACATCACTTCATTGATCAATGTCTGAGCAGGATCTTCTGTGAAGGAGGGGTTGTTGTGAAAGAAAAAGGCTTGAGAAGTAATTGTCCCCAAAATAACATTTCCTGGCTGAGCAAATTGATGGGGTATAGGAAGTGGGTCATCAGGTATGCTACAATTGATAGCATATGATTTGCATGTAATACAGAACAGGAATACAAAGAGCATTGTTCTTGTCACCCCCATCCTATTATTGATAATTGTTTCTATACGCTACTTGCAGTTTTTTAATGTGCTTTGAACTAATGCCACTTTTTATAAACATGTTTCATATTTCAGAAACTATTCTGCAATCTTCATTTCTTGCTTGGAACAAAAAAGTGGAATGACTTCCTCATTGCTTTTAAGTTAATAAAATTCTGCATGGATAACCATATTTACAGGCAATAAAGTTTCTGTTTGTTCATTTTTTCTTCATGATCTCTCCACGTGGTAAAGATAAATTCCTTTATCTAAAAGTGATTTGAGCAATTAGTACACAGGGAGAAAATTTCTCAGTGTATGTTCTAGAAACTACATCCTCTCATTTATGAACATTAGAAGAAGAAATAGGAAAGAGGAGAAGGAAAAAAATAGAAAAAATACAAGAACTATTAAGAATGAAATGGAAATAAAACAGCTTGGAAGTTTAAATGAAGATTAGAATAGAAATGCTTCAAATGATACCTCTCTCTACACTATTCAGCAAACTATATTTTGAAGATAGGAAAAAGCACTCCTATTATTAGGTTTTCTGAAAATTGCATTTAATAATCTAAAAAGGGGCCTATAATTTCGACAATTGGGAAAATAATCAAGTCCTTTTCAATTCTCAATATTTTGCACATTTCTCTTGAGAAAAGAGCTAGAAGTCTGAATTTAATTACTGTAATTTGTTTTGATTTTTTTACATCATCAAAGTGTCATGAGCCTTTTTTATATAATTTTTTAACAAATATACAAATCAAACTTCATATACAATAAATCAATTGAAGTGATTAAAACTGAAAAGTATATTAGGTAAAAAATTCATTTTCATCAATACATCAATCGGTCCATCAAAATCAAAGACTTTTTTTAATTTGCCCTGAGTTATTTTAATATTTACCTGAGAAGTTTTGCGCAGTTGTGGGTTGATCACTGTATTCCGATTCTCCCATCAAATACCAACTTTCATAAGAAATCCTATTAATTCCTTAAAAATTGTTTATAAAACATTACTTTGTCCTTAGTTGGAACATTAATTCTCAGTATCAAAACCTTAATTCCATGTAAAATAATTTCCATGCCAGCCTATATCTAATGCTCATCAGTCAATGCAATTCCTGTGTTCATTTGGAAATTTATATACAAAAAAACTTTCTTTCTTTCTTTCTTTCTTTCTTTCTTTCTTTCTTTCTTTCTTTCTTTCTTTCTTTTGTCTTTCTTTCCTTATTTATTTATTTATTTCCTGTAGAAATACATTCTTCACCCAAAATTTTAGAAATCAAATACTTTGTGACTTTCTTTTTAATTTATTTATTTATTTATTTACAAATATTTATATGCCGCCCAATCCCAAAGGACTCAGGGCGGCGTACAAAGTTAAAACAGTCATAAAACAATAAAATAATACAGTCATACCGCGAGTCCGTTCATATCCCGCCCCCCCGGGGACATCAGCCCCAGGCCTGCCGGAACAGGAGAGTTTTAATGGTTTTCTTAAAGGCCGGCAGGGTGATAGAAGGTGCAACTGCAGGAGCAAAGTTGGAGAGTTTTGGCAATGCAATGATTTTTCAACATTGGGAGCTAAAGTTTAGTAAATTGGATTATAGTTAGTTATGGAGAGGGGTCATGGCATGTGTAATCAGATCCACTTTCAAAAGCTGGTCATCTATTGCCTGACACAAAACTGTCAGGCATGAAAGATCAAAGCCACATGTTAATTTCCAGTTTGGTGATGAGGCGGTGCTCCCTGCGGAGTTCTGCTGGGCTCTTCCCTGTGGCTGTGCAAGGTGTGGTGCGGTATGCAAGAAGGAAATCTGCTAACCTGTGATGCCAGTTACCGTAAGTCAGTTTCTTGAGAGCATCTTTGGTAGTGCGCACCATCCTCTCTGCTTGGCCGTTGGAAGAGGGGTGGAAGGGAGCAGAAGTCACATGCCAGATCAAGTTGACCTGAAGAAAAGCCTGGAACTCAAAAGAGGTAAATTGGGGGCCATTATCTTAAACCAGGACATCTGGAAGTCCATGTGAGCCAAAAATTCCTCTCAACACCTGGATGGTCCTGGCAGTAGTAGTGGAGGAAACAGGAACAACATCTAGCCACTCGGAAGGCTGTCAACAATGAGAAGGAAGAATTGCCCCTGAAAGGGCCCAGTATTATATGTATCTGTGACCACGGGGTTTGAGTTTCCTCCCACCTATGTACTAGGGCCTGAGGCATTTCAAGCCTTGATCGCTGACACATTTGGCACCGTGCACCTGAGCCTCGATGGCTTTATCGAGCCCAGGCCACCAGAGATGGCTGCATGCAAGCGCTTTCATCCTTACTATACCTGGATGTCCCTCATGCAAGAGAGCAAGATTCTAGACATCAATGAGGCTGGGATGACTACCCTACTACCCCATAACAGGCACCCCTTGAAAGTGGAAAGTTCATGCTTCCTTTGCCAGAAGCTTTGAAACTCTGTATCTGGACACATGTGAGGCCATCCTGACAACACCCAGGTCACCACGCATGTGAGTGTGTGATCAGTGGCAGTTTCTGTAGCCACATCCCTAGCATTGAGAGGAGATTCAGGCAACTATTGAATGGAGAGAATGTTAATAGCAGGAGCAGGATCTGCCTCTATTGTTTGATAGGTAATCTGTTGAGGCCGTCTGTATGGCCCATCTCTTTTCCAGGTTTGTGAATGAGTATAATATCATATGCTGACAGGAAAATTGACCATCTCAGCATACATGGAGAAATAAGTGGGGAAATAATATGTGGTGTCTGTTTATTAGTTGTAAACAAACCCAGCATATGCTTATGGTCTGTATAGACTGTGAAATGGCGGCCATATAAGAAATCATGGAATTTCTTTATGCTAGCCACTATGGCCAAGGCTTCTCTGTCAATCTGAGCATAATTCCGCTCTGCAGATGACAGAGTCCTTGAATAATATGCTACAGGGACTTGTGTCCCATCAGCCTTCAGGTGGCTAAGTACTGCTCCCACCCCATAAGGAGATGCATCGCATCCAATGCATATAGGCAGTTGCTCATT